ACCGGGGGCCCGGTAAGGGCGGCCTTGAGCCGGCGGCCGCCGCCGCGTTTGACCGGGGCTCCGGTGGCCGCCTTGGTGCGGCCGAAGAAATCGGTGAGGCGGAGCTGGGCCATGGCGGCGGTGACGGTAGCCCCGGGAACCGGTGGCAGTCCCGGCGCGCCAACACGTGCGCCCGCTCCCGCGCGCGCCAAACTCTCCCCTTCTCGGCGGGAACCCGCGCGGCGGCGGCGGCACCGCCCACCCGGGGGGGTGGGGCAAGGTCACGTGGGGCGGAATTGGCGCCACAGGGTTCTTAAAGGGGCCGTGTCTCCTTATTCTCGTGCTCCACGTGGGGGCCGGGAGGGGGCCGCTTGGCTGCGGGGGGGCCCAGACCCGTTCCCGGGGGGACCCTTCTGGCCTTGCCCGGTGTCGCAGCGCCCGGGGAGGGAGGTCGTCGTCCTCCCCCTCCCCCCCTCAACTGGTGCAGGGGGCCCTGAGGGATGTACTGACCCCACTTTGGGACATGAGTAGGGGGAGAGCGGGGCAAAGAGCACATGAAATGGCGTCGTCCCCCCCCCCGGGCTGGTGGTCACCCCCCTTATCTGCTTGCCCCATCACGCTTGGGGCCAGGGAGCTGCTTGTTTCCAGCTCTGTGGGGCCAAGCACCCAGTAAGAGCCCCCATGGTGGCTGGGGGGTCCCTGGAGGGACACTGCTGCCTTCCCCCACATCCCCAGTCCTGGGGCAGCAGCTTGTGCTCCAGTTATAGGGAGAGCTGTGGGAACATGGGGGCTCTGGAGCCACCTGCAACATCCCCCTGCCCCATGGCATGTGGGGGGGAGCGCTTAATGGCACTGCCCGGATGTGGGAGAAGCTTGCTCTCTGGTAAAACGCCTCGCCGGGCACTCAAGGCTGTGCCCGCAGCACCATTACGGGGCCGCGCCGTTCTCCAGCATCTCTCTTAACACCCGAGCGGGGCCGGCAAAGTGAAGCTGGGCCACTCAGGGCCGGATTTGGTAGCGCGAGGCAGGGCTCTGGGGTGCCGTTTCCTCTGCCCATTTACTTCCACAGCCTCCACTCCCGGCCCCGCTGCCAGCTGTGGCACGGTGGGGAGCTCGGAGCCGGGCTGGGAGCGAGACGCCGGCGTGGGCACCGCGTACCACCCTTTCCTGGATCTGTTCTGGGCCGGGGGATGCAGCCCAGGGCTTTTTCACCGATCATTTCCACACCTGGGTTTCAGGGATGTGGTGTCCATGCAGAGTTTTACGGCTCAGCGTTGACGAGTGTTTTATTTACACGAGTGAATCTGTCTGGGCTGCAGCCACGAGGATGGATGCGGCTGGGTCCCTGCGCTGAGGATGCTCGGAAGCTGTTTAGGTGCCCAGGAGCCCATCACAGCTCCCATAAAGGGCTGTGCCCAGCACAGCTCATCTGGATACACATTTTTGGGGAGCCCTTGGGTCTGTCCTGCCTGCAGTTTGGGGGCTACGGTGTGGCCACTGGTGTCCGGACAGCACATCAGGGTGTCGGGTTGGGGGGGGAAGATCCCCGAGAGCACTGGAAGGAGCCCAGGGAAGAGAAGCAGAGCCTGCTGAGGTGGGCAGAGCGCCAGCCGGATGCCAATTTATTAAGTGTGTTTGGAAAACAAATGCGGGGAAGGCGAAGAATGCAGAGAATTTCATGGGCCGGTGCTTCCTGTTAGGAGCCGGCGGGTTACCAGTGCTGCCGGGGGGCTGCCCGCTGCTCCCCAGTGCCCGGTGTCCCCCCCAGCCAGGGCTCAGCTCGCCCCGGGTGGCAGGGTCAGCGTGGCACCCAGCTCCTGGGGGTGCACGGCCGTGTCCCCAGCGCCCACCTCCCCTCACCTGGGCACCCACCTCCATGGGTGCCAGGCTGTGCCTCTGGGTGTGCGGTGGGCACCCAGCTCTGGGGACGTGGCACGGTGGGCACCCAGCTCCGGGGAACACAGTGCCCAGCTCCCAGGGGTGCATGGCTGCTCCCGGGGGGCACATGCCCCAACACCCCGCTCCCGTGCAGCACGGTGGGTGTCCGCAGCAGCTCTCTGCCCCCTGCCATGTTGCTGCCCGGACTGCAGGGCATCACCGAGGACCGAGCGGAGCACTCGGCCTCAATTAGCTCCAGCCTCTTATTTTTATTTATTATTTTTTTTGTTTGGATGAAGAAAACAGGAAACACATCAGCTTTTTTTTTCTTTTTTAACCTTTTTTTTTTTTTTTTAATATATATTTTGGGGTTTTTCCTACTGCCTGCGGTGCCAATCAGGGGGGCTGCGGGGTCTCTCCCTCCGCTCAGCCGTCGGGGCTGAGACCGGCCCGACTCATAGCAGCAGTGGCGGGGCTGCAATGCCGGCGGGCGGCGCTAGGCGGGGCGGGCCGTGCCGGGCCGTACCGTACCGGGGCAGAGCGGAACGGTGCCGGGGGCCGGGGCCGAGCCC